ATATTAATATTAATATAATATAATGGCCAACTTTCTATGCACCGTTTAGATACAAAATCACATCGCCTTGTTCGCGCCGTTTTACGACGTCGCATGCAAATATCCCAACGAGAATATCGCCGCTGCACAAAACGACCTGTACCAGTTACGACCTTGACACTAACCTAGCACAACGGCCGACCATTTATACCAGGTTACGGCGGAAATACAATGCGAGGATCTCTTCCTTTGCGGCAGTAATCTTATCCTGTCGATCCGCGCCGCCTCTTCCTTCAGGAATCCTGATCCTCCCCCTATCGTTCGTCAAATTTTCTCACTTACGTATATCTTTGTGGCTTCTTCTCTCTTAAGTTTGTCTCGAGTTTCTTTTTTTCTTTTTTTAAGCAAATTTTTATTTTTCTCAAAGGACTACCTAGCTCTTAGAAATCTGAATATCTGTCCTCCGCATAATAGGAAACTCAAATTGTTTCACTCGTTAAATATTTCAGTTGGTTGTATATATAACATAACATAGCAAAGACTCCTACGAATATTTTATAATCTTTTTCCAAACTTTTCAGGAAAAACCTAAAAAACGTTTTGTATGAGTATGAAGAACACCCAGCTCGTCCATAGAAGAATACAGAAATACCTGCACTCGCGAAGAATTAAATCAATGTTCATTCTGATCAAACTGATCAGTTTGAGATCCAAGCTTAGGATAGAAAGCTAACGTGGACATCTCCCAAGGTCTTTAAGTTGCAAAACGATAATTTAAAGGTGTGCAGGTACCGGCCTTCGTTCACACTAACAAGTTCCTTTTGGCTTGTTTTATCGCGTCGCAGTGAATTCCAAGGACCTTAACCTTGCGATATTAATCGTGGCGTGCATTCTCCGCGCGTAGATTTACGTGTCGCTTTTCTTACTGCAGCGTGGATTTACGTGTTCGCCTAACCCGCATTTCAAACCAAGTCCAAGGTTTCGCCTGATCTCACTTTCGAGCGGAAGACACCGACCACGAATCCACTTAATTAAATCTTTCGTTCGCAAAAATCACCCTGCCAGCCTCGTGAATTAACCACCTTTCGCGTATTCGTATTAAAGCTTCGAAAGATGCGGTAATTTGCAGAGTTCCGCGCCGTAATTATGCGGACGCCGGAATAAATTATTCGAAACCGGTTATTTTGTTTTTCAAAGCGTAAACCGTGCTCGATACCGATCGCTGGAATTATTATTAGTCGGAAACATGGCACTGGGGTGGGAAACGGGGAATATTTTTGCAAGCTAGGCGGAGAACTAATTTGCACATGTAACGTGACAAATGAAATTTTTCCTCGTGGTGCAGCGTCGTTTCTCATTCAATTGAATTTCGCACAAAAAGTATATCGTTAATTGCGACGAAATTTAATTAATTACATAGCTTTTAACTGCTTGCTTTATTCTGCTTTGAATTAAATAGGGGAAAAAAGAAAGCAAAAATACCACAAAAGTAGAAAAATAGTTAAATAACGTTTTTAGTTAAGGAGAGCAGTGTACTTAAGATCTATAATTTCAGTAACTTATAATACAAAAACTCAAAAAAGCAAAACAAATTACAATCTTGTGGTTTTCCAGGATTTCCTGAGGTTTTCTGTGTAAACATAAGCCGAGCGAATTTAAAAGGAAATTGCACGCACCTTTAAGGATTCGGGCAAGTAGCCAGTAAGGAAATCCAAGAGTTGAAATAGCTCTTCCTCAGCGAGCAGACGAAAGTTCCGGCCTCGTTCCGTCGCTTCAGGGCACTCCATGCTGAAACTAATTACCAAGAGATGATTGTGTAAGTGGCACGAACTTTCGAACCCTAGTCGGTCTTCACCGCCCATAAAACGTCAGACTCTATGTGCCTACTCATAACATGATCAACGATAATATTCGCGTAACGTCGAATGACTTTCGAGCTTTGTATGATTTAACGTTAAAATGATCTCAGTATTGAATGATCTTTGTCCAAAGAAATCGCAAGATTTTGCGACATTGTCTTTAATGCGACGAAACGACTCACAACAGCAAAAAAATAGTTATACATTATCAGTTGGAGATCTATTCCTAATGAATCACACTAACGCAATTATACGCAATAGTGATTTAATAATTGCAAATATTGTAGTTTTACACGAATAATAACTGATACATAAAACAAATGAATGAGATAAATGGTTCTGTAATTAACATTAAAGCTACAAGACTTGACTCTCGTTTCCATGTTCATTTACAGATGTTTATCGATAGATCCTTCTGCGCGATAATAATTATGTAACTACTTTTGAATTTTAAAACGTTAAAAAGCCAACACGAATGCATAGTCAATGTCTGACTTTAATTTTTCATGACAAACAAAGTCTATCTAGATGCTTATCATCATTCGTGTTATAGTTGTTATAGTCTTTGAGTGAGCTCTATAGAGTTTGCTGAAGATTTAAATTTAAAAATAATAGAAACTTTCGAGTTTAATAAATATTTAGATTTATTCATACATCCTGAACATTGAGTTTCAGAAAACACATTCTTTTAAGAGGAGAATTTCAGAGGAATTCAAGGACGAATAAAATTCTAAAGAAAGAATTCAAAAAGAATTTAATATTTTTCCAACTGGAGACTAGAATTTAAGATATTCAACGCATAAGGTCTTGCCATTATACAGGATATACAGATAATGAATCACACAGAATATAGAACACATACGGTAATTTAAATCTTTCTCTGTATCCACAGTGATTGGATTAGACTAAATCTTATTATCTTTCAAGTGTCATAGCGTGCACCTTTGCTTATGCCTGCATTGTCAACAAAGTCGACGTAAATATAATCTCTATATTTTTCATTATTAGCCGAGAATAGTGACCTTCGACTTAGCGTGATACATTACAGCGGACAGTATTGTGATAAATAACACGACGAGAAAATGACGATGCTTGAAATTAAGATAAGCTATCTGTTTCCTTGAATTTTTCGCGAGCGATTTATTCTATCGATGAAAAACTACCGAACTCATTAAATTTTACCATTAATCGAACGAATCGATTCGTTAAATCTTTTAACGAATCCGTCAACGGCTGTTGATAAATTCATCGTACCGTGAAAGTACTTCACACGGGATATGAAAGTATATTGAATTTATGAAAAACGAACTATTAAAATTGTCAACCGCGTTGCGGCCTTTATCGTGGAGAAGATTAATTGCTGTAATCGATGAACCGAGAACACATGTGGACAATATCGATTAGCCACATGTATAAACATAAGGTACTATATCGGAAAATTGAACGAAAGCGTTGAATTTTTATTGAGTTTTCTATCTTGTACAAACAAACTCGTTGTTAACGATCAATTTTTCCTCGGCGTAAAATTCAATTTACTCGATTTCTTGTCCCTTTAAAAGTCGATAAAAATTTAAATATATTTTTCCATAGTATGAAATTTAACGACTCTTGTAATGAAACGTTTGAGAAACACGCTCTCACTGAAGAAAGTAATATAGTAATATTTATCGCGTAATTAAACAGCCCTGATAATGAAACGCTTTGAAAGATGATCTCGCTGGATAGAGTTAAATAAAGTATAAGCAAAGGAAAATTCACCAAAATCTAATAGGATTATCTCTCGTAACCCATAAAATCCTGGGAGAGTAACTCTTTTCAACTCCTCGTATTTTATTTCTTTATCTCCTCCAAAAAGAGTATATCTTTGATCAAAGGTTTCAACAGATCTTTACTCTTGCTAATTTATCACCGTATTTATATTAACTCTATACTCTTCGCTGCATGCCTGCTGCAGTCAGTCCCCAATTGTTTCTCCAGTGGGATTAAACGCCAGTTTAATCGTTTTCTGATATCAGTCACAGAAATTTGATTAATCTTTGATTAAAGACGAGGATGATATCTTTGAGATATATTGGCACGTCCGTGGCATATCAGGCTGCGTTGAAGAATATTTATTTTATTGACAAGTAACTAACTGTATGCGTACTGCTTATAGGTATTTCCTGCGGATGATCTCACCAGTGTCACGGCGATATCACAACAGAGAAAGCACTAAAATATGATCGGAATCGTCGGACGCGCAACGAATAAGCTGCCAAAGACACGCTACCACCGAAAGATCGCTTCTAGATGATTCGTCATTGGTAATAATGCCGGTTTATCGTGGCTGTGTAATAAAGCACTTATTATTACGTTACGTACACGGTTTACCTGAATAAGCCGCGTGATCCTTGTTCCAGGATACCGAGGAAGAATCACCGCGATCGACGGACGTTCGATTGTCGAGTAGAATGGAAAATTACGCGACGTAAAATCGGCCGGAGGTGAGAATGTCTGCGGGCTGTTGTCAAGGGGTAGTTCCAACGGAGGCACCCGCCCTCGCCGCCCCCTGAACCCGCACTGCCGCCCCTGGGTCACCGTTACCCTCCTTGCACCGAACGTCGTCATGCTGCTACTCGCGCAGGCGCCCTTTTCGCTCAATGACGTACCGTCCCCTACCAGTACCCCCGCACTGCGTAATCTTTGATTCAGGCCAGTTTAAGGATCCTTGATTAAATCCGTGTAAATAGCCTGATTTGGAAAAATTCCCTTGACTTAACAATCACGATTGCGACATTAGATACAAAAGAAGTATTTTATGTAAAAGTATTTCGTATTGGATAACAAGGATAGAATTATTTGTTTGAACATAGATATAGCTGTTATTATTCGGATTGAATATTGTTTGCAAGTATAATTGTCGCAATGCTTGGAGTGAACAATTTAAAAGAAAAAAAAAAAAAAAAAGAAAGAAAACGTGAGCTATGCGTGAGGCGCAATTTGAAACATGTGGAAATCAATATTTCTGCAGTTGTATCTATGTTTGTTAAGTTATTTCTTGTCGCTGTGAGAAATATATCTTTTTTTGTTCGACTCATCCCTTTTACATAAAGCTCGTAACCCCTCGAGCGCAGTGTTTTAGTCGAGGTTACTGATGCAATGTGCTTACCGCTCTGATAATGCTCTTTAGGCACGTAATCGCTCTATGTTACACGATGTTATGAATTGGGAAACCGTTCATGAAACAAACAATTATTTAAGGTCGATTATATTCATGTTTACTTCTTTATTTACAGTTAATTAATTTTTATAACAAAAATATGTATCTACTTTTGAAACTCAGCACATGATTCACCCTTGTTACAATATGATTTACGTACGATAATGAATGTGAATGAATGAACGAATGTAAATGAAAGAATTACGAAGCAACATTCATTTTAAAAAATGTCACTACGTTATTGCGCTTATTCGAATCTTTGTTGTGACGGTACTGCGTCGAACGTCGTGGCGCAGAAAAGCACAGCCTCCACCGCCTCTTCATTTTCGCAGATCGATCCAACCCACTGACAAGCGTAATCGAAAATCTCGAGGTTAAAGTTACCTATGCTAGTGATGCGTGTGAAATATTAGAGAAAAATCTGAACGTGAACATATTTCAGTTCTTCGTGCGACAAATTCTTCATCGAGTGTGTATTCCCCACTAGGAGACAGTAAAATTGTTTCGCAAGAATCTAGCCTCTGTAACATGTGAGACCAAAGATCAGGCAATAATGGTCATATACAATTTCATCTACTCGTTTGCATAATTATTAGATCTTAGATAATTATCCAAGCATTTTAAGAGACTATAGAATCTCTTGAACTTTGTATCAAAGAATAATACGAATTTTGGGGAAATTAGTTCGTTTCATTTGTGTCGAGGAATATGTCGTTGAAAAGATCCATTAAAGTGAATTTGAAACATGATATTTTTGTCCAGAGGATCGTACAACCTTGTCTTTATCGATAGCAAAGCGGATAAAGGAAAAAGAATTGGATATTTTCAACGCGAATATAAGTGTGTAATTGTTGATTGATATGTGGACAAGCTGGTTTGGCGCAGGTACTTTCTATTTTCTGATAACGATATCTCTGGTTTTTCAATAGAGTATTATTATACATTGCTTGAACTTGTTGAATATGTTTTTTCGTTAATACACGATGATGGATAAATCAAGTATTTGAATATTCCCTCGGAATCTGGTTATCCCTTCTTTTAACAAATGCGCATGCGTTTTGAACTTGACGCGCGTTATCAAATATTAACCTATAAATCCTTTAACAAATATAACGGACGAAAATTTAATTATTTTCTACATTATTTTTGATGGCACCAGTCAATTAAAAGTTAAGTATTGCAAATTATTGATAAATTGTTAAGTAGTAAAATATTTACTACTCCACGTTAAATTGATGTATTGCATTTGACTAGTATATGAGTATTTAGTATGGTTACTATAATAGTATAAGTATTTATTATTATAATTTTATATGGTTACTAATATACACTGATACTCGAGATATAAATCTATTTCTTTTACGTAGAAATTAATTTCATTTACGTAGAAAATGAAAATTAGGACATTACAAAAATGTGTTATTGAGAGTTCTACCTCTTAAAAAATAATGCGTGGATTTTATCCATTTTTACAGATTACATTCACAAAGTGAGTATGTCCAGAAGGAAACCCGGTGGTGACAGACAATTCAACAACGTGGATTATACACAGCTTACAGAAACTGACAATGGCTTTGTTGATTCTCAGGTTAGATATTACTATGCTTTGTGTGTGTGTTACAAATATCCACTTCATAACAGCATGAATGTATTTTATTAAAGTCAGTCAAAATATTATGCCAGTAAATTGAAAATAGACAAACATTAATAATAAAATATATTTATCTTTAACAGTTCGTGAATCCACCTGTAAAAATACCATGGAAAGCCATTATATTAGCTGCTCTTCTTTTTGTTGGAGGTACTGTTATGCTCATCATGGGTAGTCTAATTGTGAGTGGACATATTGATTCAAAGGTAAGATATTTTAAAAACATCTTTTTATTAAATTGTTATTATCAGGTATCTTATCAAGTATTTAAGAATTAAGAAGATTGTTTCTACTTTATTTTCTAAATGCATTATTTATAATAATAATTTCATAACAATTTACCATATTATTAATTTAACAATTATTTCATCTTTTACAGTATTCAGATCGTATGTGGCCAGTTATTGTTTTAGGAATTCTAATGTTTATACCAGGTGCTTATCATATGAGAGTAGCTATTTTAGCCTATCAAAAGGTGCCAGGCTATTCATTTGATGATATACCAGAGTTTGATTAATAAACAGAACTTTTTTACTAAATAGTTGAAAGTTCTACATTGATGTATTAAGTGTTTAATTTATATCAGTCTGTTTTATATAAATTGTATATATTTTTTTCTTTAAGCATGTAAGTATTTACAATTCATATGATGGTACAATTTGGCATTGTACTTATATACTTAATTTTATGCAAGTACTGGATTTAATATTGTGCAAAGCACGTAACTTATTGAAAATATCAAAAGTTTAGTTGATAATATTATAACTACATGTTAGTTTTGTATTATCGAAAAAAAATTTAAATTTGCATCTACACATGTTTTATTTTTACATAATTACTAATGATCTAATGTGGATTTATTATATAATCTCTTAAAATGTAGTCAACTTAAAAATATTAAAGCTATTTTAAATTTTGTAATAAAAAATTTGTGCATGAAATAATTGTTGTGAAAATTAGAAATACATAACATATGTAATATTATAAAAATAATTAACCTGTATGGAATCAGTTTAGAAAAAAATCTAAAAGATATTAATCTAAAATTATCCGACATATTGTTTTTGATTAAATAAAACGTAGTTATGATGAAACAAAAATGTAAAATCAAATTATGCACACTGTTTAGCTTTATGCTTCAAGTGATTTAAGACACTTAAAGTATTTAACTTAAATATT